AGTTTAATCTGTTTTTGTGGTTTCTGGATCAGAATTCTTCCTTTTCCTTCACGAGTGTGAAATGCTTCTTCGGGGCTGCCTAAGGAAGCTTTCCCAGCTTCCTCCCCGTGCTTCCCATCCTCTGCTTCCTCCCACACCCAGCTGCCCTTCCTCTCCATGGAGACTCTCCATGCTTCATTTTAGAGACAAAATGGAATCAAACTATTAAATCATTGTCAGTGCAAAGTTTCCATGCCCTTGCTTTATTAACTCTTGTTTGACAAATGTCCCTTAACAAAAGCGTGGAAGTGTTTACTGGACTAACTGATGCTGAGACCTTATTTTACTTTTTACAGTATTTTCTCTTTTACAGGCACTGGCTGCAGTTAATGTTGAAAGTAGCTTAACAGAACCCTAATTTTTGTTTTCTTTCCTTTTTTTTAAAAAAAAATTAACTTCATGGTAATTTACCCCAAAATATATTCATTATCCTCAAAGCAGAAATAAAATGAAAGAATTCATCAAATTAAGATGGAGAAAAAGTTGCCACCCACATGCCATATGGGCATTCAGGTTGGTTTGCTTGAATATAGAGATGTGAGTTAACTGCTTTCACACTTGGTTCCATCCTTGCACTTACCATCAAAGACACAAAATACTCTCTGATCTAGGAAAGCAGCTCTGTTAGTAAGAGCTGTTCTTCAGTGAATCCCTATTCTGCAAATACAGGTCCTTCCTTAAGAGCAGATTTTGCCCTCTGTCAACCCTGACATACTCATTGGAATGCTGCTAAATATTTCCTTGTACAGTTAAGGAATTTTTCACACGCAATCCCCTTGAAGTTTAAGGATCTTTAGTACGTCTTCCTTGCAACTATTACAGATATTTAAAAAGTAATAATTCTCAAAGTTTCATATAGTTTCAAATATATATTACAGAAAGAAGCTGGATACTTAGTTTTGACCCCAAACATGCTTATTTCATGGAATGATACACCCTGTATTAACAGGATAATATTTATTTAAGACAGAAATCTCCCTGTTTTGGTTTGTACAGCTGAGTGTACAGTTGGCCAAAGGAAGTTATTTATGATTTATAAAGGACTAACATGCAGTTTTCTTGCTGCACAGGACAGGGACTCTAATGCTCCCTGAAACATCATTTTCCCTTCTGCTTATTTTAAAACAAGTGAAAAAAACTTCCTTTAAAAGCATCTTTGAGTCTAAATACCTCAGACAATTTTATTCAAATGAAAGTCCTCCCAACTCCCTGATTACAACAGAAATACTGAGTTCTGCATTTTCTCAACCCAATAAGCAGTTGGAACCCTGAAAAACCCTCACAATACGCACAATTCTAGACAGGTCTTTTTTTTAAAAAAAAAAACAAAAAACACTCAAGAGGTCTTCACATCTAGTCCAAAAGTGAGCATGCAAATTTGTGAGTGAAAATAGAGAACGGTTTTGATGTTTCTAGAAGAAGGGACGGGAGGCTGAACCCCCAATTCAAAAGGAGAGAGGAAAAGCTGTAGAGGGCACAGAGGAGGGATCCAGGATGACTGTGTTTCCAACCCACACCACGTGCAGAGAGGCTGCAGGAGCTGGACATGTTTAATTGTGGAGGATGGGGCCGAAGGGCGAGCTTGTGCTGCCTACGGCTCCCTGCAAAGCAGTTACAAAGCCCCCACTCGCCAGGTGACTAACAGGCAGCACCAAGCACTAGGGAACGCAGTATCAGAAGGGTTAATGAGCTGCTGGGTTTGGGCTCTCTCCTGCCCTCCCCAGGCTAATTACTCTTCCTAGCTGTGACAGCCAGTTAGAAACAGTTGCTATAAAGATACTGCAGACAGACAGAGTTGGAGGCTGCTCCAGGGAGATCTCAGAGAAGCTGTGAAAGTGGAATTGCCTGCTGAAAGACTGCCAAACATGAAAGGTTAGAGACAGTGAAGGCAGCAGGCACAGAGGAATCTAGAAAAGGAAAGAAGAGTCAGCTTTAACTCCAGGTTTCTGCACACAGATCTCAGGGAGAAGGCGGCCTCCAGAAAGTGGAGAAAATGAGCTAGGGATCATGCAGGTGAGCACAAAAAGACTTAGGGCTGGGCAGACAGTGCTTTGAATTTATTGGGCTGAGCTCAAACTTTTTATTGTACAGAGGAACCTCCGGCTCTGTGAGCAAACTGGGCCATTTGGAAAGCAGGGCTAGGCCATGCCTGACCAACGCGGGTGCCACCAAGGTCAGGGCATCGTGTGCCTGCACGGGCATCTTCACCGTCTCTTCCCCAAGCTAAGGAGCCTACAGGGTGAGTCAAGTCATGACCAGGAGCCAGACCTGACTCGCAGAAACCTCCCTGGACTGTGCTAGGTCAAACAACACTGTATGACCTTCAGCCTTGGGAGAAGGTCCATGAAAAGACCGAACTAGAGAAGGAATGAAATTTCTAGGAGTGTACAGAGAGAAACTCCTCGTATTCAAAAGGCATGCTAGCTTACTCCTATAATACTGAGAGAACAGGGTAGGAGTTTATGCTGCTTGTTAGACAAACAGGCAGTACTTTTCTGGCCAAGAAACTCTTAAGTATTAAAAAAAATAAAGAGGCGAAATTTTTATCTGTTACAGTTTGGGTGTGGGCTCCCAAATTCCTTGATATTTGCCTGAAGAAAATGTACTTTTCTATGAAAGTGTTCAAAGGAAGTAGAATTCTATCCAAGTTCACATGAATAGCCTTGAACTTGCCTTTTCTCAGTCTTAAAACAAATCAGTAACTAAAAGCTAGTCAGATAATTGACTGTGCAAAGATTCTAAGAAATATGTGCAACATAGACACTTTACCTACAGGTAAACTAAGGTTACGACCTTCAGAAAAATGCAAACACCAAACATGCTACGCACTGAAATGTGCACCTACTGCACACACACGTATGTGTCAGGTACACCTATACAAGTCCCAGTGTGTGTGTAGCACCTGTGCAATCTCCTCCACAGCTGCAATACAGCATTTTGATTCCAGTTCTCTTAAAGACTTTAAGAACAAGAGATATGATACAAGAAGTGCATGCTTATTTTATCCATGAACAATACAACATACAAACATTTATCTAGTCATTTTAACTCTAAAAATCTAGGTGTTCTCCTATAACAATGCATAGGATTAGTTTTATTTTTTTTTGCCCCTATATCTCTATAAAAACATAAAGCAAAAGTTCCTTATTAGCACAGCTCATTACTACAATGAAGAACTACCAAAGAAAGAACTACCTTTTTTGCACTTTCAGGACCTGCCTCATCAAAGCGAAATCTGACAATACGGAAGTCTTTGCAATAAATGATTAATTCTGTTGGATTAAATTTAAGTTTTTGATTGGGACCAAGGACCTTCTGCTTCCTCTTGGTGTCATTCACTGTAAAAGAAAAGACAGAATTATTGGACTAAGTATACAACACACCACAGATAGAAAAGTGCTACCACCTGCAGTTTTTTTAATAGTAAATAAGACAGTTAATATAATAGTATATATCAACTACTTGAATTAGTTAGACATTGATCAGTCTTCTTTCAAACAAGTAGCTTAATTACTGACTCCTATATGCCTGGATTATTTCTATCCATCACCAACTTTAAAAACAAGGAGTAAGACTTGCAGCTTTGTCAAAGTTTCCACTGAATTCCTGTTCGGAAAAGCTTATGCTTTGATTAATTTAGGATAGGTCTACATGTAGAAGAACAAAAACTAATCTGCCCAAGCATGTGGGCAGGAAATGCTCTCCTCTGCCTCCAAGGAGTTTCAAATAGTAACGAAGAAGCTAAACAGACAGGAGCCACTTTTTACTCTTCTTGTAACTTTTAATATTTTTGGCCTAACTTCATCAAATTCGTCAGTGAAGGGGAAAAAAGGAAGATGAAGTTAACACACAAGTGCACACAACTCTGCACAACCTAACAGTCTACAGCTATGGACTGAGTGATTTTAAAGCCTGTCATCATATTTAACAATTTTGGCCTTACCTGTGACAATCTGCTCAATGCCTGTTAGCGGGACATCATGTTCACCAAGGAGAAGGTTTTTATAATGGAATTTCTGGAACACAGGAATGCATAGTCAAAAGCTGTAGTTCTGTAGCTCTCAGACGAAAGATATTAGCACAGCTTTGAAGAATGATAAAAATCAGGCATGTCCAGGCTTTTCTGCACAGTCCTACCTACTCCCAGCTATTGGGAGGTAGCAACAACAGCTCCCTGGGGTTGGTGAACACATGCAAAGCAGTTTAGAAACCCCAGTGCAGTATGCAGAAATGAATTACTACTTGCACTGAATTTGCTACACTTTAGATTGTATCGAATTTCTAACAGCAATCTGAAATATATATCTCCAACCACTATTAATATAGCTATAGAATGAAAAGCGTGAACTTTTCTCAGGGAAATCTCATTCAGAATGTCAGACAGAACTGAATAGATTAAATATGAAAGTTTGCTCCTCAGTCCTACTACAGGCCCCCAAGTCCAGATGACTCAGTGTTCTGAATCCATCTTAGGCACAATATACTGCAGGTGGTCACTTACTGCCTTTATTCGTACAGAATGAAGAGCTAAATCTCAACTGCAAAGAAGTGAAAACTAGAGCAAGAAAAATAGCACTGAAAAATAAGCAGCTCAAAAAAAATCCAGCAGCTCAGGACAAACACTCACTTTAAGACAGTAAACATTAAATTCCCATATTGCTTTTAAAGTAACGAGTTTTCAAATGGGCATATTTTGCTTACTAAAACTAAGTCATCATCATCAACTTTGATAAACTGCGTAAGTTTTGACAAACTCCTTTTATGACAAGTATTTTTTGAAGTACATTTTGTCAAACTTGCAAGCCATTACTGAACAAGCATCTCTACTTTCAGCATTTTATACTTGCCTAATTAATGGAATATTTTTAAATTACACAGCTAAAAATGAATGTTAAACTACTTTGAGAATAATATACAACTGACAAGTTGATTTCCAAACTTAATGCTCTACGCTGTGCTGTTCAAAAACTGATTAAGGTTATGAATTTTGCATGTTTTGCTTTGACAAAGGCTGGGTCTCTTTTCCCTTTTTGTTGTTGCCCCATCCACAATGAAAGCTCATTTCATGGTTACTTTGTCCTCTCTCACTGATGCCAATAAAACTTGGATGCATTAAAGGCTTTACTGATCTGATGCTTGCCTAGTCAAAGGAACATTTGCAATTCTCCTCTTCAAAGAGGAACATGTTTTTATACAACTCCTGCTTAGCCTTCTATTAAATCTTTTCCCAAAGAAGCCTTCATAAACTGTGGTAAATAGAACTGGTTGTGCTTCTATCACAAACTTGCTCTGTTCTGATCCTCTCAAACAAGGGATGGGAATACCAACACATTCAGAACATAGTTTAACCTCATCACTGAGTTTTCTGTGGGATAAAAGGCCTATTTATATCAGTTATGTGATAAATTTACTGTATTCTACTTAAATCCATGTTATCCATCACATTTGTTATGATGTGGTACCAGTATAACACACCTGCAATGGCATAGGATCATCCGTAATAAAGGAAATCTTGAAGTTAGTGCAAACCAGTTTGCCCCACAGGTCATATTGACTTGTATCTGTTGCGATGCATTTTCTCACAAAATTGACTTCATTTACCACAATTTCACCTAAAATGAAAAAAAGAAGGAGATGTAAAAAGTAACCGATATACATCTTGTAAGTACAACAAAAGTCCAGATACCTAGAAACCCTAACTCTTTACATATTTCAAATTATATAAAACTTCTGCCTTGACCGGGCATTTATTAAGTGCCATTCTGGAAAAAAAAAATATTGTCTAGCAATTAAAACAACAATAACAAAAAATCTTATACTTGAAGATCAAAGGCTGTGAATTAAAAATTCACTAGTTGGAACAACACGGTTCTTAAAACAAAGGCACATACTCATGCCCTTTAGCTAGGATTTAGCTTAACAATACGTGGCTATTTCTAGCTTTTAATTATTTTGCAGAACCTTATGAAGCTCATGGATTTGGAATGGCAGTCCGCATCTAGCTTTCTATTTAGTATCAGGCTGTTTCCTAAAACGATGCAGGCAATTCCATAAAGGAAGAAAAACAATGAAACAAACACATTAACCATTCCTTGCCATTTCAAAGTTTTTGTCATGACCAGCTACCGAAAAAGGACCAATCCCTTCATCATGCAAAACAGAAGACATTCTATATATATTTAAAATTTACCCAAATGAGAAAGAAAAATTGTAATTCACTTGCAACAAGCTATGAAACAAAAAAAGCATACAGGCCAATGAGACTTAGAATCATTAAAACGATAAATTACTGTGTATGATACTGCTTTTTTTGTTCTACTGCAGAGGTTTCTAGAAGCTAAATGGCAACTTCATTCCTACTTCAGCAAATTTTCTTTACTTCTGTATAACGCTATTGCTTCTGTTATCAGATCAGCTACTTCCTTCTGCTACTGACTTACAAATAACGGACACAGTTCAAGGAAAACATAATTTTGTACTAGCTTTATTTAAAAACCAAAACGAAAGGCTGCTAAAGACTAATTTGCTCGTAACAGTTTTGACGCGTTTAGCCCCATTTTTTTTTCTGAAATGTCATCTCGGGGGCCCGGGCTTTGCAAGGGAACCCTGGGCTCTCTGGGTAACCTCCCAGATGCAGCAGCAGGTTCCTCGCACCGTCCAGCTCTGAGCCCTGCCGTCCCCTCGTCCTGCTCTGAAGGAGTTTTGCACCCCAGCACTTTTCCTAGTGCCACCGTTACCGCGCGCAAGCTACCCTCACATTCACAGACCAGGTTTTTTTTTAATCCCAAGCTTTTTATTCCACCTGACTGTGGCACACACCTTGGCTAGGCTCAAGTCCCAGCTTCTCTCCACGCTCCTCATCCTGGGCATCCTTAGCCAAGCTCCCTGCTGGCTCCTTTGCCCTTAACGTAACTGTGCATCAGCCCAGAGGCCGCAGAGCAGCCGGGTTCCTGCTCTGCATTCACTGGGCCGAAGCGACAGAACCGCCCTCAGCCGGGCACAGCCAGGGGCCGGCAGAAGGACCCGAGC